CAATGGCATGAAGACAAGAGGGCAAGGGAAGCATGACACTAACAGCATGAAATAATTCCAAAATAAAAGACATGAGAACATGACACAAAAACAAAACCCAAACCCCACATTACACCTCTGTGTTAAGACCGTGTCTTAAGAACTAGTCTGACCAACTAGCAGGTAGCCAAGCGGTAATCAGTCTTGTTTTGTTTTGTTTTTGTTTTTTTGTGGATTCAGCGTATACTAATCTACGCTTTTATGTAACAGAATTAATACACTCTAAAAAAATGTTGGGCTGTTTCAACCCAATTAACTTTGGGTCAAATATGTAGCCTACTAACCCAACTTTTGGGTTAAGATTTCATTTAAAAATTGAACCCAACAGCTGGGTTAGTCCATATTTGACCCTAAAAAATTGATCATTTTTTAGAGTGTATGACCAGTCTAAGAAAAAAAAAAAAAAGATGACTAACTTAAGACTAAACCTTTTATGCAACCGGCCCCTGGAGTGCGAGCAGATAACACGAAACTTTGAGTGAAATCGTATGAATTATCTCGAGGCCGTGTTGATTAATGTTCAGTTATTAGCCTACATATTATAATATATCAGCCTATAAACTGCTCACTCTAGAATTATATAGTGACATTATTATTAAGTTATGTACTGTAACTTGCCTTAAAGTGCCATGTACACTGAATGATTTCAGAGAAGTAGAGTAAAATGAAATCATGAAGGTGTTCCCGTCACTGTATGGCCCATTTGGACTCGACTATAAGCTTTAAAGGACTGATTTCCGACAGCAGCCTTTATCAGACTGAGGTGTCGGAATGCACTGCCATTAATATTCACTGGAGTAAAACATTTAAGAAATTTCATTCTCCCCTATCAGCAACATAACATTTATTCTGCAACAAAACAGTGACCAAATTATTTTAGATTTAGCCATTTGACAGACAAATAACTACAATTCCCTAATTTTCTTTGTCAAAGAAATGTATAATCACTCTAGAGTTTAGGCTGGTATTAAAACCAGTTGTATTAACCAGTTTATATAATTCTTTTTTAGTTAGCATAAACATGCACAGGGTAAAGGTTCTGGTTTATTTCTTTGACTATTTTTCCATAAAGTCATCATTTCAGTCATCATCACTGGCCTATATATAGACCATCATCTGTTTTAACCCCTTATGGTATAGTTAGTTGTAGTTTGTATCAGTTGTGAGGTGATGCCGGAACACTGTGAGCCACTCGTGCAGCGGATGCATTCCCATGATGCCTGAGGTCACTGTTTGTGTCGCGTGTCAAACTTTTAAGTATAAAAGAGCTCGAGGCTCCACTGACAGAGTATACAGACAACGACACGGAAGACAGAAGAGCAGCAAAAAGCATTAGGAAACATGAAGTCGATTGACATTCCTCTAGTCGGCCTTCTCTTGCTCTTCAGCGTTCAGCTCATGTGCTGCGGGGTGCTCCCGCTGCAAAACGCAGACTTAACCAGCGAGGACATGGATGTCTTAAAGGTAAGATGAAAATCCAGGAATGAGAGAGGAAAACGTGCTTAATAATGCTCGCTCAATAGGGCAAACTAATGAGCCACATATGGCCCTGTCAGCTTCTTCTACAGCGACTGGAAGAGTCCATTCCCGCTGCTTCTCAAGAGCAAACACTGAGGAAAGTGAAGAAAGAGGAGGCTAATCCTGAGGAAACCCGCGCTCAAACTCCACCCCAGACTGACATGAGAGACTATCTGTCTGCTCGGGACCTGAGGACGGTCCGGCAGGACTCCAAGAGTTACTCCGGGTGTTTCGGGCGCAAACTGGACAGAATCGGCTCCATGTCGTCTCTGGGATGTAACACCGCCGGACGCTCAGGTAACCACTTCATTTATGTATCGTACAGCAACAGTTAAAATGGACATCGCGTACTTTAAATGAAAATTAAAGAACTGTTTGTGGAAAACTGTCTATCAAACTGCGTATTATTATCAATATGAAAATACAGGCCTATGGTTCACTAACGTACCCATTTCTCTGTTTTTCTCTTTCTGCAGGTTCTAAGAAGTGGTGAAGTCTTAATGATTAGGAACTTCTACACTGTTAAAAGTGAATATTTTAGTGCTTGTATTACTTTAATAAGTTATTTCTACTTGATCTGACCTTACAATGACTTTTGTTGGTGTAACCTAATGTATTCAGGTTGATTAAGTCATATTAAATTATATTTTTGACATCAACAAAAAACAAGATGTTACTAGCAAAACACATTTTTAGGTTACCTGACAAAATATTTTTTTTACAGTGTTATCAGATGGATGTACAAGCGCACACGTTGAGCAGACACAGTCCCGCCAGCAACATGGCCAAGCTGAAGGTATTTCTGCTTTGAACCCTTAAAATAAATAAATCAATAATCAAGAGAACTTGCAGTGAAATTAGAAAGTTTGGATTTGTGTACTCAGTAACTATGGTAGCCAGCGATTGTTAAATTCAAAAGCTATTTCTACCAACTTTACAAATTTAACCCAGTTGTATATAGTTTGGTTCAGTGATGTTAATGGGATAGTTCATCCAAAAATGCAAACTCATCAAGTTGTTCCAAACCTGTATGAGTTTCTTTCTTCTACTGAACACATAATTAGATATTTTGAAGAAAGTGTGAAACCAAACACTTGATGGTACCCATTGACTTCCACAGTATTTTATTTTTTATTTTTTAATGAAACTTTTTTCCGGTCCCCATATTCTTCAAAATATCTTTTTATGTTCAACAGAAGTAGAACAGATTTGGAACAACATGATGGTGAATAAATGATGACAGAATTTCCATTTTTGGGTGAACTGTCCCTTTAAATAAAATTTTTGGACTTGAATAAAAGTTATTTTAGATGTTACCATTTTTTACAGTGTTAGTTTCATCAAGGCCTTAAATTGAATGAGATTTAATGTGATGCAAACAGGAAAAAAACAATAATATCATCTTGAGCATGCAAAGAATACTACAAGCATAGAGTTCAATAAAAGAAAGCATTTCAACAGAACGGCTGAATTTACTCTGTTCTGCTCTCCAGAGCTTGCTGCAGCAGTTTGAGGAGGCCCTGGCCGCAGAAGAGGCTCCTGAGAGAGCCGTGGATTATGAGGACAGCAACACGTCCTGGGACAGAGACAGAGAGGAAGAAGCAGCTCCGGCGGAGGACAGCAACCCCTCGGATGGATTCGAGACGCAGAGAAACCGCCTCGTAGATCTCCTCATGTCAACCCGGAGCAAAAGCCTGTCTGGCTGTTTCGGGGGACGGCTGGATCGCATAGGGTCCTCCAGCACCCTTGGGTGCAACTCTAAAAAAGGTTAGCTACAATGAGTGAATACAAGTGACGTTAAGATTACAATATATATTTATGATATATAAATGATTTTACATGTGGGCAGTTGTCCATTAACTTTTTAGGTTAAAATGTACGTGTATTTAAGAGAAGAAAAAATCTCAGTAAATGTAAGTCAAAAGCTAAGTAATCCTGTAACTTTTAAAGTCAAAAGCTAAAAAATCCTGTAACTTTTAATATTGTAAAAATTAACGTTAAGATTAATATAATCTTAATGTAATCAACTAATGCTAACAAATGGAACCTTATTGTAAAGTGTTGCTAATAAAACAGAACTCAATGCAATGCGTAATTTAAAATATTTGGGGGCGAAAATACCACCTGTGAAAAATAAACAGAAAAATAGCTTCATTGTATCATATAACAGTAGATTGGGCCTTTTGTAGTATAAATATCAGTGTACTAGCCCATAACTGCATGTATAGTAATTATAGTTGACATAGAAAACAAATTTGTAGAGTAGAAAACAGGAAGATGAAAACAAGCTGTTACAAAATGCATGCTAAACTGAAACTGTGTGGACATTTTTGTTCAAGTCTTGAAACATGAAAACGAATGTAACATGTGGAAATTAAACCAACGATATTTTGTTACAAAATTATTCCATATTTTGCAATGCCTGTTGTGCTTTATATGATCTGATGGTTCATATTTGTTTGATATATTTATTATGTACAAGTAGTTGAGTGCTAATAAGGATGCGATATATGGCGATACTCACGCTAATTATGTGCATTAATAATGTTTGACTTATTCTGCATTCATTTATGAGGTTTATGAGATTGCAGTACTCCTGCCTGGTGTGCAGTTCTGCTTTTAATGAAGAATAAGAGACTCCGATAAACATCTATTGCTATTTGTTTGTGCTGGGCTTCATCAAAGTTATTCTGTTATTCTTCTTGTCACATTTCTACAGCTGAAACTGTACTTAGAAATAAAATGTTGTTTCAAGAACAGTGTGAACAGATTTTAAGTTTTTTTTTAGTTGTAGAATGTGATAATAAAATGATGACAAAATCCTGGTTTTTAAATCATTCTGAGTTGTTCCTCAAAACTAAACTCAGTAACACAGAAACACCACAGCTCACCATCGAGCCCCTTTCTCCCATTCATTTACCACCCACACCATCTCTCCTAATGGCCATTATCAGGCTCATTACAGGACACATCAGCACTGCACTATAATGAGTCCAACACCTGCGCTAACCTTAAACAACTCCAGTCATGCCAGCCTTAATCCTATTACACAAGCTCAGCAGGCTCGCTCCTGATTGCATGAATAATGCCTCCGTTCAGACCGCTGCTTTCATTAGAAACTTCAGATCTACGCTCCGTGTCACACACTAACAGACTGTTAGAGACTGATGTCTTGCGTCTAATGTGAATCCAGTGGGACTGCAGTGACAAGAGAATGAGCGGGAACTACATCTCCTCCGATCAGACGAGCAGCCTGCAGGAGCTGGAGGTGAGTCTGAGGGTTCATTCACACTGCACTGAGAGATAAAGTGGCAGATGTGATGCATGACCATAGGTAAAACGTCCTCCGGGTGGTAGACCAACGTTCTTAGACTTTCTTACACTCTTACTGGGTACATCTCTGTCAGGACAGGATTTTCCCCCCATTGATCTGAATCCTGAAACGACTGACAGAAGGTCAAGACTGAGTATCTACACATGGTCAGTTCAGGTAAATTGAGATGGCTGTCAAAAGTGACTTAATTTGAGTGAATATCACCATATACTGTAGTCAATATGGACAATTTTGGTTCTGTTGAAAACAAAAAAGTATCTTAACCACGCCCAGCAGACACTGCGTGCATCATGGGAAAATTCTGTCTCATGTCATATTATATCATGTCATGTCATGTTATATTATATTATTATATCATGTCATGTTATATTATTATAGCATGTCATATTATATTATATTGTCATGTTATATTATTATATCATGTCATGTCATTTTATATTATATTATTATATCATGCCATGTCACGTTATATTATGTCATGTCATATTATATTATTATATCATGTCATGTTATGCCATGTTATATTATATTATTATATCATGTCATGTTATGTCATGTCATATTATATTATTATATCATGTCATATTATATTATCATGTCATGTTATATTAATTATATTATATTATTATATCATGTCATGTTATGTCATGTCATATTATATTATTATATCATGTCATATTATATTATCATGTCATGTTATATTAATTATATTATATTATTATATCATGTCATGTTATATTATATCATGTCATGTTATATTATATTATTATCATGTCATGTCATGTTATATTATATTATTATATCATATCATATCATATCATATTATTATAATCTTCTTTTATTCTTCAAATATGTTATTGACAGTGATGGAAATGACTATTTTAAAATACATGGAACAAAAATTCATAGCTAGAATTTTTATGTATCCCACATATTTAATATTATATTTATTACTTTTATTACAATTACATTACTATACAGTTTCACTCTTTTCGTATAATTTGACAAAACTGCAGCTTAATTGAAAACGCCACACAAAAATGATTCTGCTCTCAAGTGGTATTTACTCAAGTCACTCAAGTGATGATTTTACTCTCTTCTTCACAAATCACATTTTATTTGTTAATTTCAAGCATGTTCTTCAAAGACATTATTGTCCCCTTAGTAAATAAAGACACTACCTTTTGAAAATTATTGTGGCAATATTGTTCATTGTGATGGAAATTATGCCACAACTGAAAATGTAAAATGTATATATTTTTAACATGATATTGCAAGGATATAATTAATATTTTAAAATAATATTATACATTATATAAAAATCATATTATATTTGTATGTATTTTTTCATATAATTAATATTGAAAGGATATATTTTTAAGCTCATCATGGTTTAAACATGA